AAAGTGAGATGACGTGTTAAGAAATTTGCATTAGGCAATCATGAATAAATGCACAAAAAAAAATATATTTTATTTTCTTAAGATATTGACCAATATTTATAAGCTTAAACTCATAATTGATGATAAAATTAGAGTTATCTAAGAGAATTGGAAGCTCCTTTTAAAATTCTTTAATGTCGAAAACATATTCAATATTTCAAAACATGAAACGTTATCCAAGAGCACTTATTGACGACTCCTGGATTACTCTTAAGTTTGTGCTCATATGTGTATGTAAATAAATATATAGTGTATGTTAGAATGTTTAAATAATAAACCGTACATTCATCTTATATCTTAAGTTTTTAGAACAGTTGGCAGTGATTCTATTAAATCTCACCGTATACCTAGGTGCCAAGTATAAATTTTTTAATTGTTCTCTCAACCTAGCCGGTCCGTGTATGATACCCAAAAATTCACATGTTCCCTGACCAATAAGAAGGAATCTCTCTCTTTTGAGTGAAGAAGGGGACGTCACCTTTACATGCATTGTGCCTCCACCTGAGAATACTAAATATTTATTGATGTGCCCTTCTAAATTACGTTATTTATTAGCATGTTTAGCCACCACAAGACTAATTAGATGGCTTAATTCTTAATTAATATTCCAATAACCTCTATTTTTTCATGCCAAAAACCTTTCGGATTTATTAAAGTTGTGTGCGACATGCATGATTAATTAAAAGGTAGAAACGTGATTTTAATGAATGGTGTTTTGGCATTTTTGGGGATATTATATTATGGTATCGCATGATCTTCCAATTTACTAAAAAGTAAGCATGAATGTTTTTTATGTATTCCAATCGTTTGAGGCAATAGTTTGAAAGCATAGAATGTACATCCTCATAGCGTTTCCATAAGGTGTTGCTAAGTTGTATAAAGTAGTGCATCGAAGATGATCATAGTTATGACACACGATTGCCATGTCTTTGGAAGGATTGTTGTTTTGTACATAATTTGTGCAGAGTTAGGTTCGTATAAACCGTCATGAATGCATCATGTGTATTTTGAATGCTATTCTTGAAATAACATTTTGTACAGATTCGATCACGGTGTCTACCCTGGAGTGTCTCACTAGCCATCTTGTGATTGGAGCTAACCTAACGCACATGCATGGAGCGATTTGCATGTATAAATTGATGTTAATTGAGTCGAATGATTTGGATACTTAGTGTTGTAAATGAGATAAAGAAAAATGTGGACAAGTCATCCTCTCGAAGACTTCGTACACTGCACCAATTTAGTCAACAAGTCAAAGCAGCGAATAACGCCACGAAAAACATATGTAAATAAAACAAGCCAAAATGAAGAAGACACCATCAATGTAACTTTCTTCGTCTTTTTACTCTTTTGGCCCATATCGGCAATGGCCGTCATTAATCTCCTTTTCCCTTTCTTCAGCTGAGCAAAGTCATCTCTTATGGTCAAGACCATCGTGGTTTCTCTTGCTTTTATTTCCACGCTCAAAGCAGCACCACGATGGAGTGGCAGCATGGCCATTGACAGGCCATCACTGCATTTCCTCACCTATAGATAGTCCATTTGCGTAAAAGTAAAAAATTTGCACAATCATATGCTTTTTAATACAAAGTCGCATTTTATGATAATATTTGAGTGGTTAAAATTAATTATAATAAAAAGTAAGTCTTTAAGGCAAAAAGATCAAAATAAATATTTCCTAGTGCATGGAAACCATATGCTTCGGTAGTGCTTAAGTGGAGCATTTTTTGCGTTGAATGCAACAAATCCAATTCTCTATAGTATAAAGGAGATTTTTCTAATCATGCAGGGTCCCATGTGTCATAATAAGTGGCAATTCTTTAGGAATATTTTGTTATTATGCATTTATATAGATAAATTGTGAATTTACAATACTGGATTGAGATTTTAAGTATGTCCAGCTATGGATATATCTACAGAATAATCATAAATGATTTAAATGTTTCAAAATCAAAATTTTTTAAATTCAAAAGTTCAAAAGGATAGAGTGAAAAGCACCAAGAAGAAACTCGAAAGAAACTGGGCATGTTGAAAAGGTACACCTCCATTATTGTCGTCCATTATTGACTACAAATTGGAAGCTTCGCCGAAGTTGCCTGTATGCGTTGAACTTTCAATTGAATCCCGTGAGTCACGCAATACACAGGTCCCTATAATAAACATCCTTTTTCTCATTTTCTAATGTAACGCCGTGGTTCTCCTTTTGTAAATTCCTGTGGGAGGATGATCTGGTGAAGAAAGCTTTTCACATTAAGAATGTAATAAGGCTTTTCACATTTGAGAACCGCAAGGCTTTGTGCGAATATGCCTAGAAGAAGTATTTTGACAGTGTCTATTAGAGAGAGAGAGAGAGAGAGAGAGAGAGGGCTGACCCTGCTAAGTGTGAAGTGAGTTCCTATGGCTTGCTCAGAGACCGGAACGAGCACCGGTAATACATCAGGAGGTGAGTACGAGGTGTTCCTGAGTTTTAGAGGGCCTGATACTCGTCGCACATTCGCCAACAGCCTCTATCATGCTTTGTTCCACACCGGGATTCGTGTTTTCATGGATGATGAGGAACTTCCATATGGTGGAAGAATTAAAGACAACCTTCTGCGAGCGATCAACGACTCCAAGCTCTACATACCCATCTTCACCAAAAACTACGCTTCAAGTTACTGCTGCCTTCTGGAGCTTGCAAAGATGGTGAACACCTCTAAAGAAGATGGCAATAAGGTCATATTGCCCATCTTCTATGATGTGACACCCGACGACGTGAAGTTGAACACCCAGTCGTACAATGAGGCCATATCGAAATTGGAGCAAGAGATGGCGGATCGGAATAGAAAGTTGAGCTCCAAGGATATAGAGACGTGGCAACGGGCTCTCAAGAATGTTGGTGGCATCAGTGGAAAGGAGTTGAAGAAATATTCAGGGTAACGTTCTAACCACGATTGTGAAAATAATTTTGTAAAATCGGACCATAGTTCTTATAAAAATTCATTAATTATATTCAAACTCTAATTTCCCTATTTTAAACAGAAAGTTTCAAATTATTCTTTTATTTTTTTTAAATCACGAGATTTCCAATTTTTTTTCTGACCTAATAGGGTTATTATAATTTCGTTTTTCACCTATTTTCCATCGTATGAAAAATTTGGCTTTCCTTCATCTTTTTTATACTAATTTGATCCATGCTTGTATTAAGATTCCTATTGTATGCTAGAGAACTTGATTAAGGAACTGTTGCCTTTGCAAAGTTCTTTTACACGTCGAAAGAAATAAGTAAATCTGCCATTACAGTAATTCATTAGATGTTTATATTTTGATTCTTCTACCCTTTCTTGCCAGAAATTCTGATTCTTCTGCTTGATATAAAGAACAAACATTTCTCTTCCTCTATTCCTTTAACTTAAACCTGCAATGGATGTTCAAGTTTGCAATTCATCATGTTCCCAAAGCTTTGGGGGTAACGTTGAATTTTGATATATCCTAAACTTGATCGCGTTCCCACCTGGTTGCTTAGTAGAAGGCTGGTCAACATGCAAATTTGTCACCTTTTCTCAATTGAAACTGTTCAACTTTGTGGCAGCGATGGGGCACTTATCCAGGCAGTTGTTCACGAGGTTGTGGTCAGGCTCAAGACAAGACGAAGACCAGTAACCGAAGATTTAGTTGGAATGGAGGATCAAATAGCAGCCATAAACAAATTATTAGACATTGGCCCTGGTGGTGTGCGGCTAATTGGAATCTACGGGATGGGCGGCATCGGTAAAACAACACTCGCCAACATTATCTTCAACCAATTATATTCTCAGTTTGGGAAAAACTGCTGCTTTCTTGAAGGCGTGAGGGAAACGGCTTTACAAAAGTTGCAAGAAAAATTATTGTCCGATATCTCTTATTCTGGAGAGGATGGTAAGATTCAAAGCATTCATGATGGGATCAAGAGGATTGGAGACACAATTTGCAACAAGAAGATGCTAATTGTATTGGATGATGTCGATACGGGCAACCAGATCCAAAATCTAATCCCAGTGAATTCTTTGTATCCTGGCACTACGATACTTGTTACCACTAGGGACACGAGCGTTCTGAATATTAGGGGATTTGAGAATAAATTCAAGGATTATGAAATGGTGGGGTTGAGCAAGGAAGATGCACTCAATCTTTTTAGTAAGCATGCTTTCAATGACAACTCTCCTCCAGCCAATTACTACACTCTTTCAGAAAGCATTGTCTCTACTGCAGATGGACTACCTTTAGCTCTTGAAGCGATAGGTTCATCGCTTTTTGGTGTGGAAAAAAGAGAAATATGGGAAGAAAGGCAAGAGAAGCTAAGGAAAACACCTCATAAGGATGTCTTGGGAAAGCTAAAGATTAGCTATGATACCTTAGAGGATAATCAAAAACAGATATTCCTCGATGTTGCGTGCTTTTTTGTGGGTAATAATAAGACTAATCCCATGTACATGTGGAAAGATTGTGGGTTTTGGCCAGAGGATGCCATCGATGTCCTTATTAAGAGGTGCATGATAAAGGTTTTAGACGGCGATAGATTTTGGATGCACGATCAATTTATAGATCTTGGAAGGGAAATTGCCAAACAAGAGCATACCAGGTTGTGGGATAAAAAAGACATCATTCGCAAATTAAGATTAACATCAACAGAGGTAAAGTATGGCTAAATTTGAATAGAAAATTGCTTATACCCTCTTCTTAATTGAGGATTCACGTTTTTGATTTGGGAGCTACTCTTCTGTTTCGTTTTTTCTTCTCTTCTACGAAAAAAAATAGTGGGATATTGACAAATTCCTGCTTCTACTCCTCAATGTCATTGGCAGATCAAGGAAGGCGTTCAAGTTGAAGCACTCCGTTTGATATCATGGGGGGATCCTATAACTATCACTTCGGAGGAAATTAAGCGGTTCCCACATATACGGTTTCTTTCTTTGGTTGACGTAAACTGCCAAGGTGACTTTATGGGCTGTCTTTCCGAGTTGAGATGGATCGATTTGTATTACCTTAATCTTAGCAATGACGAAGCCTGCCGTGATCGACATTTGGAGGGAACCAATTTGTTGCATCTAGAAAACGCGGCCGTGGTGAATCTTTATGGGTTTCAATTCACAGATGATGTGTTCAAGAGCCTAATCGAGGTACGCCAGTTTTCCTCTTAGTCTATTTTTCTCATTCAATGAAGGACAAAATTTCATGGATTTATAATCTAATTTTCTCATTTAGTGAGAGGATCAGATGACATATGATATAAATTGGTACCCTAAATCCATATTTATTTCTTGTCTGTCTTGATGTTTCATTGGCTTTTGTAGAGGGCAAGGAAATTGAAGGTTCTCACTGTTGTGCATAATAAGTCGATCCATGGGACACCAACCTTTCCCCAGGACTCAATTTTAGAGAAGTTGACTATTCAGTACAATTTTCTTTTCTCGGAAATTGACTGCTCTATAGGGAAATTGAGGTGGCTGACTGACTTGAGTGTTGAAAACTGCCACAAACTTAGAAAATTGCCTGAACAAATTGGAGAGCTACGGAGTCTGCGGCACCTCTCTCTTAAGGCTTGCTGTGGCTTGATTGAACTCCCCGACTTAGTTTCGAAATTAGAGTCGTTAACGAAGCTGGATGTATCAGGCACGAGAATTACAAGATTACCAGATTCCATTGGTAGACTACCAAGCCTATCATATGTATATGTATCATTCACACCAATTGAAAAATTGCCCAGTACAATGAGTGAGTTTCGTCAACTCCAAACACTGGACTTGGCTGGTTGTCATGGGATACAAGAGCTGCCAATGCTCCCCAAAAGTTTGACCGCTTTATTGCTGATATCTACTTCGTTGCTGACTGTCCCTAACCTCTCGTATCTTACTAATCTAGTTGAATTGAACCTATCCGATCGCTCTTATTTGATGGCCGGATCAGATATAATTCAAACTTGCGATTTACGGTGGATCGGGAAGTTATCCAAGCTGAGCAAGCTGCGGTTTTGCTTTCCAAATGTCCGTGCATCAACTATTGAGTTGGGTTCCCTTTCTTGGCTAAAAGAGCTTACTCTATTTGGACTGGACTTGCCAACTTTCAAACAACTTCCGTCAAACTTGATAGTTTTAGAGCTCTACGACACTAGAGGAAAACAAGTACACCTCGATGGGCTTCCTCCATGGGAAAAGGAGACTACATTCGTTTCATCAAGTTCGACAAGAGAAAACAAGGCGTACGAGCAACATCATGTTCACTTACTCAGTGTCTTAGGATCGTCGGAGAGATCACGTATTCAAGACTGCAAATCTTCCAAGATGTTGGCTTGTCTGCCGGAAGAGCTGGGGTGCAATGAACTACAAGCTCCCGAGTTGATTGATCATTGGAGGGGAGCCTTCCATTTCCCAAGCTCCCTAAAGATGCTTAAAGAATTCGTTCTGTCAAGGTTCCCAGAGTTACAGGATATTCAATTTGTTTCTACGTTCGAATCATTGGAAGTATTTTCCGTTGAAGATTGCTCTTCATTAAAAAGCTTAGGCTGTTTGTCAAACTTGAAGTATTTGAAGGATTTAAGTATTATCCGATGCATGAGCCTACAGGCTGTCGAGGGCATTGAAAAATTAGAGTATTTGTATCAGTTGAAAATCCAGGAGTGTAGATCAATGGAAAGGATTTTTTATGCATCGACGATACACATAACATGTAGTGCTTCTTTTTCCCAACTCGATCGGGCGGTCCATCGTCCTCACGATCCGTCATCGATCCCTAGATCGTCAAGTACAACAGCAAGCAATGATGACCCAAGACCCCTAAAGGTGCTTAAAAAATTCCTTTTGTCGGGGTGCCCAGAGGTACATGATATTCAATTTGTTTCTACGTTTGAATCATTGGACGAATTTTCTGTTGGAGAGTGCTCTTCATTAAAAAGCTTAGGCGGTTTGTCAAACTTGAAGAACTTGAAGTGGTTAATGATTGACCAGTGCCCGAGCCTGCAGGTTGTTGAGGGCGTTGACGAATTAGAGTTTTTGCAGTTGTTGAGAATTAATGAGTGCAGATCAATAGAAAGGATTTTTGATGCATCGAGCTCAAAAATACCAAATGAGTGCTGCATAAACATAGAAGATTGTGAGAAATTACCCAATAGTGTTTCATATCCTCATCGGGACAATCGGGAGTCTTACAGAGAGAAGATTCTGAGTGGAACAAAGCAAGCGACGGACTCTGAAATTGAAACGACGGACTCTGAAAAGCAAGCACCGGACTCTGAAGCAGAAACAACGGACTCCGAAACAAAAACAGGGGATCCTCTGCAGAAAACGGTGCGCCTTCTTTCTATTCATAGATCATTGCTGTTTCTTCTGCTTTGCTTGCTTTCTATTTCTGCTTTATTCTGGTGAAGAGAGACAATGAACCGATTCTAAAACGTGCAACCAAGGACAATCTTTATTAAAATTCCCCATCTTACTTGGAATCTCCATATGCTGCGTGCGTGTGTGTGTGTCAACTTCGGTGGTGAGGTTGGGGGATATTACATCCCTCACCATCTTATAACAAAAGGGACCTCAACTCACCTTATTTTTTCCTTTTGCAGAACCAGGAAAACGAAAAGCTTGGGTGCGCGTGTTTCACGGAAATTTTAATATTTGGAAAACATTTTCTAAAAACTATGTATCTCTTTAAAAAAGAAATGTTTGAAAAATATTTTCATCACCCATGAAATTAATTATATATAAATTATTATCGATAATAAAAATATTTTCCGTAAACTAATTTTTTAAACGATATAACTAATTATTTTTCGAAAAATATTTTTTTAAATTTTAAGTTTTTCGTGAAATAAGCACCTTTAAAGTACTAGAGTCATTGCAATATTTGTCTGAAATTTGTAATTTGAACAAAATCCCGAACTGAATTGGGATTAGGGTTCTTTTTCAAATTGCTGTCCCCCAAACCTCGGCCGCTCCGCGGCCAATCCTCGGTCGCTGCTCGCTCATTCATGGCAAGCTTCAGTCCGTCGTTCGCCGTCATCTCTTGTTTCCCAGGTTCCGTCGTCCGCGAGCTTCAAGTCCTTCTTCGCGAGCTTCAAGTTCCATGTCCGTGACCTTCAAGTCCTTCTTCAGTGCCACTTGCCACTCTCGTGCACATTTTCATCTTCACTGCCGCTCGGCTGGAGTAATTTTGGTGCTACATGAGAGGCTCCGATGGCTGCGCTCGTTAACTCCACCAGTGGCGGGAGGGCATGGGCCTGAACTCAAGCTCTGGAATCACCAGCTAATCGCTGAAGAACAGGTACGAGGGATGTGGCGGTTGGTGTTTAGTTGAATGTAATCACGTGATTTATCTTTGTGTTTAGTTGCTTTCTTGCAATTGTTTGACTATTGGAAAACCCAGTCTAGTTATGTTGCTATGCTTCTGTGGACTGCTCGATGGAGTGTAATCATGTGCGGACGTGTTGTGCAGCTGTTAGTTGGGGTATTACAAGAACTATGTGTGTTTGTTGAGCTGAATTAAGATTAGAAAGTTGCATAATTTGGGAAACAGAGTTTATTACAGCTTTGATGGAGAATGGCAATGTAAATTTTTGTTGTCGACCATCTGGGGATCGAACCATTTCCATGAATGTTATTGCAGAGCACACAAAACTTTCTACACAGATTGTTGAGCATCTTCTCATGAGTCTGTCTGTAAGTATATTCTAAGGTTTGAATGATGGTCACTTTAATTTGAGGTCTGCTGCGTATGGTTGAAGGGACTAGAAGTTACTGGGTTGGTTTGCACAGAATGTGCCTAAAGTGACTGCCGTGAACATGCACCCTATTAAGAGACTTAGCTAGCATAAATCAACCATAAATAGTTTTATACAACAAGTGGTGGCTGATGTGAATCAGCATCTCTTTTTACTCTTTTAACATTGATGCTAAGTTTCCTAGTTGGGGGGGTGTAAAAGATGATTACTTTGAGTTATTCATGCTTGTAGACTGACTGCCACTATTTCTAGTGTAAGAACAGAAGAGCTTTGGATATGCATCGGTGTGCTGTTGCTAAAAATCTAGAGTACAATTTCCTTTTTTGCATACGCCGTCATGGCAAATACCTGGATGTTGTAATTGGTTGCACCTTCTCTGCTCTAGCATTCGTAATGGAAAACCGATATTCAAGCTTTCTTATTTTACAGTAGTCTAACCATTAGAATCTCAACTCAGGTTCATCTTATTGTGGGCATAATCGATCAAGTTGAGGGGACAATATAAGTTTCATGGATGCAGCCAAGAGTTTTGGGGATTCCACAGGTCAAATTACTGCATGACCTACTGGACAATTGGCTGGACAAATTACACACGGCTTGGGTATCTGTTGAAGCAGAAACACCGGATCTTGTCGCTTCATGATTACTCCCACGTTCCCATTCTCCATTTTGCGACAATCATCTGATTTGAACTGAAAGAAGGGAGAAAAGTGAGACGCTTTGTTGCAAGCTGCTTGGTCAGGCGGTTGTGTTTCTCAATTTACTTCCCTGGTGCTTCATTGTTTTATGCCTAATTCTTCTCCGGAATCAGCAATTCCTTCCTACTTTCTCACGTCTAAGATGAGTCCTCTCAAAGCTGTGGTGACATGGTTTTATCCTTTGGATTTGGTCATTGGAACATGTACTGATTTCTTTTGCTCAATCGTGTCCATTTCGATCCACCATCATGTGGATCGACGAATGCTGTGGGAGATTTTTTTGTAGCTTATGACTTCCAGAATGAATATATTTAAATGAATGCACACCTTCTTCGTAGCTGATTTGCGGGGGTGCTTGCCTGTGTACTGATGCATTGAATGGTAAGTTCAATGTGCCCATCGCTTAAAACCATGCAAGCCTTATGTGGCTATATGAGAAATGAGAACCTTCCAAGGAAGGAATAAAAAAACAGAAAAACAGCTCGATTAAGAATGAAAAAAAAAATGCTCTTCGTTTTCACGGAAGATGAGATTCTTCGAACTCCCCCAAACCAATGGCTTCCTTGCGTTACAAGCTTCGATCTTCTGTGGAACGAAAGTCTTTGGTTTTCCCAATGCGGCCGCCGCCGCTTCGAAAGTTTTGAAGCCGGTCGGGCGGGCTCCTATTGGAAGAGATTTGAACCTCTGTCCTCACTCCGGCGATCAAACTTGAACACTGCCCACAGATTGCTTTTGGTGGTGCTATCGCTCCTGGCAGCGGACCACTCTGTGGTCTGGTAGGAGAGATTCGAGAGATGAGGTAATAATATTTCTATGAAAGTGCCCTTGACATCACTTTTAGTATCTTTCGGAAAAGGCCCTATCAAAACAGAAGATTAGATAATAGAAGAGACAATACTGTAGACACACATGTTTTAGTGGTATGTGAGTTAGGCATTTCAGGTTACTCCATTGATCTCAACTTCCACCGTTAACAGATTTAAACGAGACATGGGGAAACTGATCTCTCCATTTCAATGTCGTTCTTTCGCCCTTTGAAAAGGGAGACTAATAATTGTGCGTACAAGCGTACACGAGAGCTTTTGTTTCTGCTCACCTTGTTCATTAGGTGGTGTTGGAGGCTAGGCTGATGAGCTATGGATGGGCCAAGGAGGTTAAAGAAAACGGTGCCGCTCTAGTCTGCTCATCTGCAGAAACCTTTTAGACTGACGGTGGAGATAAAAGAAAGTTCCCCAGGCGGATATTATACACAATTTCTTTGAATTATCCAAAAACTCGATGGTCAATATACAAATAACCTAAAGTTCTAGGGACTGAAATTAGAAGCAAACGAAAAACGTGGGTCGGTGAAAAAGTTTTTTCTGTCTTTGTTTTCAACCTTCTCACAGATCGTGGGAGAGAGTGCTATTTATTTATTGATGGCCGTGAGATGACCCAAACGTTGATTTCTCGGCCTCTAAGAACATCTCATATGGGATATGACGTGATTTATACGACAAGCAAAAGCTTGAGATTCGCTCGCACGTCTCTGTCTTTCAAAGTAACAAGAAATGGTTGCACATTTGCCAGGTTTGGGCTCTGAATTGGTCCCCGATTGAAGTGGTTTCTATGTTCTGCTTATGAACATGTAAGAGCCTTGGTAGGGCGCCCTCTTTTCTCTCTCTCTCACACACGGTTGAAGTACCTATCCAAGTAGCGCAGTGGCCTGATGTTTAAAGGGGTCACAAGATCGAGGTCGTATTATGAACCGATCTCGGGACTCAACGACTCCCTGACTTTTGGCTCGTCCGTATGAGAGCAAAAAAGCGTTTGTGTTTGCAAATGTCAGGAGTCGAGATGAGAGCTCGTAGCCAAGAAGATGGGGGTGGCAACTGGTCTCATCTGCTCGTACCCAAGTATTTTAGCGAAGGAACTTCCCGTACTTGCCGAATTTACTTAAGCAGCAAACTCAGAAAAGAAATGAACTTGTAGCGAGATGAATGCGTTTGTTTTTGCAAGTTACTTCTACATGTTTTACTCATCATCCTGAATCTTCAAGAAACATTCCCTAATTAATGAAAGTTACTCCGGTCAAACATGAACGTTGGAGTTACGTGAATGGATAGGTTGGTGTGGTGATGGTGTCTGCCTTCGCATCAGAAATTCGTCCCGATGAATCTCAGCCGTCCGATCCCCTCTCCTTCTCGCTCGACCCACTTGACGGGCATTTTCGTCTTACAAACGACAGCTTTGGGCAATAGAGATACCGACATCACTCCCGAAAAAAGAAGCAATCGACACCCGGCCCCCCAAAGGAAAACAAGAAATTCCCAGCATTCCAGACACCACCACGACCAGCATTGCCGCCGTGTTCGCATCGCCGGTGAATCAAGATCGGCGGCCATCATGGGGCTGCTGCAGAACCTGTAACTTGCTCTTTCTGGCTTCTTCCATCTCCATTTCTGTCTCTTATTTTTCATGTTTAGATGGATAAAGTTTGAAACTTTTCTTGCGGGGTAAACGCAAAGTTTGAAGCTTTTCTGTGTGCGTGGTGTGTGTTGTGGTTGTAGGGGGCGGAGAGAGAGGGGGAAGGTGGAGGAAGAGGAGCAGAGGAGGAAGAGGAGGAGAGAGTGGAGAAATCAGGCGGTGAGGAATTGAAGGATGTGGAGAGAGAGAAGGGAGGTGGGATTTCAAGGAGGAGTGGCTGGTTCTAATCAGAACCCGACAGAATTACATGCTTCGATGTTGCAGCGGTTGAACCCAACGAACCCTTTGAGATTGTCATCAATGGAGGGAGGAGAGTGACTACTCCTTCTCCTGCTCATGCTTCCAAACCTCGCTCCTCACAACTAGATAAACAAACTAAGGTTCATATACCTGTCCAATGTAATGCAAAAATATAAGTAAGATGTTTGATCAAAAGCAGAGCCCTTTTACTTACTCGAATTTGCTATTTTTGGCTATTCTCAGACAGAAATTTCAGTATCATGGAGCTGGTCATGGCAACCCAAGAAGGAAGATTGAAATCAAGCATTGCTGATTACAGTCTCTGTATCTAGTCTAATTGCTTGTTATTGTCAAAAGGAGCAATCGACAAGGATCCCCTCAATCAGGATAAAAATTTTCATCACGTCACCATCAATTAAACCAAGTGTTCACAATTATCCTTGAAGAGCATGCCCAAACAGGAAGATAACCGGCACAGGAACTTAAAGAAACCCTCCGATCTCCTCAAACATCTACACATGACCAAACATTGCACAAATAGAATCGCTAAAGCTCATACTAATCATGCTTTTATGAAATCAATCCAATTCGCTACTCTCCTACAAAAATGAAAACGAGCAACAAATGTACAACCCGCTTCATGTAAGTGTGAATGACCTTCATCAGCTTCGTTGCGAGGCCGCTCTGGCGATGATGCTGCAACACCGCAATGGACCTGATGTAGGCGCACAATACGCCGGCCTTCTTGTCAATCTCCGCCATGACATACCCAATGATGCGGCCGCAAGAGTCTGGCGTACTGGAGCTGAGGCCATGTAAGGATGGAGTAACGGAACTGCCGCACTGAGTAAGTACCGTACTCGGGGAAGCAACTGGTTGCATTCTTGTATTTGGAAGAGATCCTCTATTGGCCCTGCCGATGGCAACCATTGTTGGTTTGGGAGATCGTCTTCAGGAGCGCAGGAAGATTTTGGTTTTTTTGGGTGGACAATGAAGAAGAAAGAGAGCTGGGCAGAAAGGTCGGTGGTTTTGCCGAAATAAAATTGGAAATAACTGGGTTTTAGTTAAAAAAAAACATTTTTCACAAGTGATGCCTCAAATTTAATGCAATCCATCAGTGGAAGATTTATATAAATAATTATATGGATCAACACGAAAAATCTCAAATCGGTGCATTTGTGATAAATTTATCCTAAATTAATTTTTTGACCACAGAAAACTCTCAAACTGGTACACCTGTGATAAATTTACCTTTCTGTTGGTTTCCGTTAAATTTTACCGTCAAATTGCTAAGTTGGATGACATGTAATAATTGACGGTGTATAAATTTGGGGTTTTTACCCTCCGTTTGTCATAAGTGTATCGATTTGGGATTTTTTGTGGAATTAACTTGTCATAAGTGTATCGGTTTGAGATTTTTTGTGAAATTAACTCAATTTAACGGAAATTAACGAAAGGTAAATTTGTCATGGGTGTACTAATTTGCGGGTTTTCCGTGGTCAAAAAATTAGTTTTGGGTAAATTTGTCACGTGTACCAGAATGAGATTTTTCGTGATATTAATTCTAATTATATTTACTAACTTTTCGCTATATATCGAAAAACTAGATATTGATCTATTTCTTATCAGTAACTTTTCTAGAAAAATCTAATCGGCAAATTGAGAGGAAAGTCAACGAGTAGTCAAAAAGACCGAATATGTTTACATGATCAATAAGTTTCCATTCCAAAAAGTAATTCTCGACAGTAACTAGTGAAATTACAAGTCCGTATGTGTCACGGATCGATAGATTAGGAATGACCCGTGCGTAGAGAGAATTTGGGAGAAAATGCTTTTTATTGATTCAATTGTTAAATGGATACAAATGAGAAGGAGGACACCCCTTTATATACTAAAGGGCCTTAGATTATATCTGTTGATCAACTATCGATCTAGTGGCCGATATCACATCTCCCCGTCCGCCAACTACCGGCATTTATGCCGAGAATTCTCTAGAACACGGCACAATTATCGTATCGCTCGTCTCTAGAATGTTCTGGAAATTCCATTAGGGTTTGGATAAGTCTTTGTCGATGTTGCACGGTCCTTGGCGCATGAAAACCTCGCGACCGTGACATATGCATCATCTCATTCGCACATAATCCTCCAATCTTGACTCTAAAGTCTCGATCGAGTCGAATATGTTTTGATTTACTCGGTGACTTTACTTCATTAGATTTTTTTTTTCCACACAAAGAGGCATGAACTCAATTAATTAATCAACTGGCCTTTTTGCATTATTTCAATCTAAAAATAACGCATCAACATTTCATGGAGTCCTAATCAGATGTGAGTGAGTAGTTAGATTCTTATAATAAGAGCAGCAATTTAAATTCACCAAGATAATTCACATGCAAAAACATAAATCTCCAAAATTTTAAAATTGAAATCAGACATTTGTTTTTTATGGACAACCATTTAAATTCGTTTCTAGATATTGATCTAATATGTAGAAATACTGTATTTCTTAACATATTTGATTTTGTTTCCTTTTCTTCTTAAATGTTTGTAAATCACATGCCATGTAATATTAATTGGTTTGATCTAAACTAGTTGTCACACCTTGCGGCGCGTGTACAATTACTTGTAAGGCAATATTGTAAATTCTATTCTCTAAAAAGTGAGTAATTACTCGACAAATGGATATTTTAGAAAAGGAAAAAATAATACAAATCACATTTTTTGGTGATGTAGAAACTGGTTTAGAATTTTTCTATTGGCCACCTGGACTGAATATTTTAAAAAAAACATGGGTCTTTTCTCCATTTTTCCTTTTTGTTTTTGAGCTCATAGCCATAGCAGCTCATCCATGGCCGTTCGCCACCAATTCACCATCGCCAGATCTAGAGGCACAGATGATCTGGACCACCGGCATCACCCCCCAAGGACAAGCAAGGCTCCCGTCTGTTGACGAGCTGCCTCTCGCCGGTCATGGACCAATGGCGTCACCGACCGGTTCCGGCCGGTCCCATCTTCCGGCCGTTGTCATGGCTGCCTCTAGATCTGGCTGCAAACCATGGCTCCACATCTTCAATTTAGCTGGCAACGTCTTTTGTGACCACGAGACGGTGATCGGCTTGGATGCTCCGTTGGCGACGGCGAGCTAAGGTCAAATCTCGGCAACTCCAATGAAGCAAAGCGAATTCTATCGCTGAACATAGCATATTATCAATTTTGTTCATTTCATTCCACATCAACGAACATATGTCAGTCTATCAGTCGATGCGAGTAAAATATGCATGAGCACATCGGCAGCTTTGAAACCACTAAATATTTTCTCCGCGTCTCTATAGCCTGACCAAAATCACTCCACCCGCATGTGTGCCCAACTCAACTTTCTAAAAATAAAATTTCAAGTTCAGAGACTGAGGAGCAAGCAACAACCCAATGATAAAATGTCCCTGAATTCCGAGGCAGACCTAAAAGCTATTAAATAAAAAACTTCAAATTGACAATCTCCCGAGACCCTTTCTCTATCCCTCACCCACCTCAAGTCCTCATTTTCTCCTTCTTCTTCGTCTTCGTCCTCGTCGCTGTCGTCCCCTTTTCGACTTCGGCTCTAGAAACCGCTGATTGGCTCGAGTGCAAGGACTCGGGGTACGTCGCCAACGATTTTGAAGCGGAAGAGGTGTGCGAGGCTGTATATACAGGTGGCGCCACTGAGTTTTGGGGTTCTGGCGGCTATGGCGAAGGAGAGAGAGGAGTATGGGTGCTGTGATCATCTTCCAGTAATCGGTCAAGCAGCAGTCTGCAGTCACACACCGGTAGTGTCTCGGTCCAGCGAACAATCTTCTCGGTGGCTTTCCAATAGGCTACAAAGTTCGACTTTCTCCAGTGCCGTCGAGTCGCTACCGCTGCAAGCCATCTCGTAGTAACACAGTGGCTTTTGTCGGATCAGTCTCCACCTCCCCAGACCAATTCCCAACATTCTTGCAGTGAAGAACCAGCGAACTGCCAGCGAATCGTAGCACTATCGACATCTTGACGACTTCCTGCAGCACAAACAAGTTCTCCCAACACTGCATTGAGCATTTCCCTGTCTTGGTGAGTACTGCAGCTACGTCTCGCCGCCCGCTCGACCACACTCCATTGTGTCGTCTCGTTCCCCACTGCCTTAGGTCAATTCTAGTCACGGTGAGAATGAGGTTTGTTTGGGTTGATGCGGTCCCAATATCTGATTTAAGTGCATGTTTTTAGTTGATAAATCCTTAGGTCACTGTGGTTTTATTGTTTCTGTTCTTCAATGAAGACATGTTTGGCTTTCGAAACTTTAGACGTTAAGGTCGAACCCCAATATCGTCCTGTGTGGATTGCTGTTGTTGAGTATGTTATCAATGATGTGACTAATTAGTACATAGTCATTACACGTCACTCTAGTTTAGAGTATATTCATAATTTACACTTTAGGGTTTTCATATTTATGGCCCACATATTCCCATTTATTCTATGTGGGACAAAACACTCCCAAGTTTCATTTACAAACAAACTACCAACAGATTCGCATGGTAATGTTATGTTGCGAAAGTTCGTATTCAAGCCATGTTACAAGAGAGAGGAATGCTTCTTTGTCTACTGCAGATGAAGAATTGTGTAGGAAATGGCATACTACGATGCGAGTTCACAAGTTCCTTTGATGTCTCTGGTAATTAGAAGTAGAGGTGCAAACGGGTGGGGCTTTCGTTGGAAAAATAGCCCCGACCCAATCACGTCGGGCCTAACAAGTCCTCTCGGCTCAGCATAAATTATTTCGAACTGGTCTGATTCGGTCCGGGCTAGGCCCCAAATATGACCGGTTTAAAAGATAAGATAAAAAGATCAAGGGAAAACACTGCACGAACTGATAACGTTTAGGGATTTCCGATAGCTTTATTCCATGATAAGATGACAACTTGCAAAAGAAAAGTGAGGAGTTCTTGGCATTTGTCATCTAAACTTTTGCATCGCTAAGAAACATTTCTCTCGATGCCTAAGAGATGATCATATCTCACGTACATTGACGTCATTTTACGACGTGGAGACCACAATCATTGGTCTGATTACGTCAATAATACCGAGTTTAGGCAAAGCAATAATTAAAGGCATGGTCGGACTCGAACAGAACATTGTGAGTAAAGCACCACTTTCGTGAGAACGGAACTTGCTTTTAACCTAAATACTAAATTAGTGGGGCAAACGTGAAA